CACACATTTCATCTTCCGTTCGGAGAGTGCATGATCACGCTTGAGGATGTTTCTATGCACCTGGGGCTTCCGGTGGATGGAGGTGTGATATCAAGGATAACTTCCAGTTCTTGAACTACTTTGTGCCGGGTTAGTCTAGAACGTGTCCCGAAAAATTTTAACGGTGGACAAATACCGTTAAATTGGTTAGATGCCAATTTTCGGGAGTTGAGCAAGGACGCGTCTGACGATGAAGTTAAACAGTATGAATGGGCATGCATATTGCAGCTGATAGGAGGGTTGTTGATGCCAGACAAATCGCGTAACCAAGTTCATTGTATGTGGTTGCAACATCTTGGCGACTTTCATCTTGCCAGATCACTCAGTTGGGGCTCGACAGTTTGGCTTGCTTGTACAGAGAGATGTGTCGAGCCATTGACTAAAGGCGTAATGCTATCGGCGGATGTCTCCTGCTGCTGCAGTCTTGGGCATGGTATCGATTGCCTTTTTTATGTCCTGTTGTCAAGAACCCCATTCGTATTTCCGCTACTCCTGAGGTAATTATAAAACTGATTTTGTATATTAATAATTTTGTACAGTGAATAAGAAAATATTTTTCTTGAATAGGTGGTCTACTGATAGGAAAAATCATCAGGAGCTACCTGATGATTTAGAAAAAATTAGAGTGTTAATCGATCAGAAGGCTGGCACACAAGTATGGAATTTAATGTTTAAAAATCAATTTTAGATTATAGTTATATAATTAGATTATTATTTTGATAAAAATTATATATATTTGTTTTAGTTTGAATGGGTGCCATATTCTACTGATGATGTGAAGGCGGTGATCCCAAATGAGTTGAGAGGCCCATCAGATGTTTGGATGGAGATAGTCCCTTTGATATGTTATGCGACCGTCGAGTGGCACTCCACTGATCACGTACTCCGACAATTTGGTTGTTTTCAACCAATTTCGGAAGCACCTCGTAATATGGACGAGTTGCATAGCACAGATAGACGCGACAATACAAATACAGATTGGCTGGTGAGGCATCATTCGTGGATCGTGTTGTGGGAGGATCGACATCGGCGCCTTCCCCATAGAGAGCCCATTTTACTTGACCTCTTGATGGTTACTGACCGTTATTACGAGTGGTTCAACAGTAACGAGAAACCGTTTCTGCTTCCCGAGGATGCACGAGGGCAGACCTTTCCGCGATGTCGACAGAGACGTTCACCGATACAACACCATCGTCTCCCGACTCGTGGACGGAGAGCAGGTGCTTCCGGTTCATCCTCAGCTGTACCAGCAAGACCTTCACAGTAGCCACCGTATCCACCAGCTATATGATGCTGCCACCGCTTTTCCATTACCAGATGCCGCCACCACCACCTTCACCTGGTTTTATGACCCCGCCGCCACCGTCACCTGGTTTTATGACCCCACCGCCACCGTCACAGAGTTATATAACCCCTCATTGAGGCTATTATGGGTATATGTTTGCATATCCGACTTGGGGTTCATTTGCTCACATTTTGGCGGGTTCAGCCTCATCACCCATGGAAGCAACACAGACACCTTCTGTACAGTTTTCACACTTAGCGATATCTGGGTTTTATGAGTTTTCGAAGTTTTCGTAGGACGGTCGGATAGTCAGTCATACACCTCGAGGGTCCTTATTTTATGGAGGTGCTTCATCGTCATCAGCTCCTCATCAACAAAATGTAGCTGCTCAGGACGACAACGACGACGATGGTGATGATGATGACAGCGAGGAGTCACAACCAGTGATACGAAGAAATCCTCCTCAAGACCGACAACCACCGCCCTGCGGATCACATTCGCGTTGCAGGCATCGATAGATTTTGTTTTTTTATACTTGTATTTAGTACTTTTTTATTGTAGTTGTTCTTTTTATTGTAATTTTTTTATTATTTATCATTTAATAGTTACTTTGTCAATTTATCATGTAATATAAGTTATTGTAATTTGGTTATCATTTATCATTTAATACTTATTGTATCGTTAATATCAATTATTCGTTAATATAAAGCCAACGTCTAATCTCGTATAATTGTATCATTTTTTTAATCTTCATCAGCGTTATCGAATAACATTAACTTGAAGTAAATGCAAAGTAAAGTAAAATAATTATTATTTGATAAACAACTACATCATTTCCTCATAAATTGTTACTTGATGACAACAGAAGTGGACATGTTTTTCTAGTGTGTCCTGGGTTTCTACAATGACCACATCTTCTGTCTTGTCTAGATCTTTCTCGAATATCCATATCGCAACAGATATATGAGAGCTTGTTTTTACCATAGGCATGATGGCTTAGCATATCACTTCAGAGTCCAAGTTGTGATGATCCTGGTTGACCCCTCTAGCACAACATGTGTGAGGGCCGTTGTATACTGTTAGTTCTCATATGTTGTTTTTCCTCTTCCTCTTTGATACGCGAACCATCCAATTACATCCGTTTTCGCGTCGGGCACAGTAGCATACATATTTTTCGGTCGTGGAGCGGTCGACTCTGGACTTAACAGAATTACGGATATTGTAATTTTTGATAGCTATCATCGCTTCTTCCTTGCTTGAAAACTCCATTCCTAAAGATAACTCACCATTATTTATTGATGAGTAATATTCATAGTCACTGAGATGAGGTATATCCGCAAATTCTGGTCCGTACATTGCATCATAATCAGCTTCATACATGTGTGCTGGAGGGTCAGTTTGTGCCACATTTGCTGGAACTTCATCTACATCATCATCACCACAGGAGTTGAATTGCCATTATTTTGGGTGAATGAATAGTTCAGTCTCAGTACCATCTGCACCAGGTTCACGAAGCGGTTCTTCTGGTGGAGATGATGGTTCCTCCATGCTCTCCACATTTAGGTTGAAGAACCTACTATTGGCATGCATTCCCCTTGAACTAGAAGGCATATTTGGATTGAGATTGAAAAAGCTCGCAGTCGAATGCCTTCCCCTGGTGCTTGAAGCCATTGTGTCAAATGGAAACTGCACAGATTGTTGTGTCGATGACATCTCTATATTAAGGTCAAAGAAATTTGCAGATGAACAAACTTTGCATACATCTCAATATCGTCGTATGAATAATTACTTTGAGAATCAACCATCATTTCAATATCATAATTGTTTGATAGTTCGAACGCTGTATAAATTAATGGCAACAATGGTGTTAGAAATCTGTACTGCAACGATGACATTCTTCTTCTACTTCTAACATGAACCTTTCTCGAAATCTTCGTTATCAGCTCCTCAAGAGTTATGTTTCTCTTGAATGATATTTTAACACGCTCATTTGATACGAAAATAACGTCGGTTTCATCTTCTCGAATTTCTCCATCATAATAAACAATAGCTGAAAGTCGTGTCATTCTTAGAGTTTAAAAGTGCAACAATATTATATCTGTAAAAAAAAACTGAAACAAACCTAATTAAATAAATAATATATGACCAAAAATATAACAGAACAAATTTTTTACACATAAACATAAATAATTTAAATAATATAATTTTATATTATTACATACACCGTAAAAATAGTTCGGCGTATGCTCCCACTTTGTAATTCTACAAACACATAAATTAATTGAAAACAATTAGTATAATATTTTTTCAAATAATCATATATAACTATAAAATAAATATTATAACAAAATTACCTTATAACGAAAGATCGAGCAAACTTCTGAATCAAATATAAGATGATTATCTGATGTTATTTACTGATTCAAAGGATTGTTGGTGAGAGAGTTTACGGAAGACGGCTATTTATAGCCGAGAGAGGATGTCTTAAAGCCGAGAAGTTTGAGAAAATAATGCAGGGCATTATGTCTTCGGAGCTCTTCTAACCTCTTCAAAGAACATTTAATTTCATTTAAAATAAATTTAATATTTTATTTTTATTTATAATTCAAATATTATATATAATTTTAAATTGTATCTTTTTTATTTAATTAGTGATTTTATTTTTTTAATTAAAAAATTTATATATAATATTTTTCTAGTGGTCTAGTTGTAAACTTTTCATGTGGTATAGGTTCAATATATAAGGTATTGTGTAATTCATGACACAAACATCCAGCTTGGTTCAGTAGTAAGGCGTGTGCAAATTGATTTATATTTTAGTATAAATTGATTTATTTTAAAAACTTTATTATTGTAGTCGTTTGGATTATTTAAATTTCAGTATAGTAAAACTAAAATTATGTAAATTTCAGTATTGCAAAACTCTTTTAAGTTTAAAAAATCAGTTTATTTATATTTCAATTTATTTTAGCAGTCTGCAAATGTTAAAAAAAAACATTCTTCTTATTGCAGATTGCAGACTTTTGGTTCACTTCTTCTGCTACATATGTGATCCGCAAACTGCAGACCTTTTACATATGCAAAAACAAACACCACCTAAGAATATTTGTAAAGGTAGACATCTATATTAATAATATAAATTTTATATATAAAATAAATACAAATAATATTTTAAGATATATATTATAATAAAATAAAAATAATAATTAAAAATCTAAAATTTATTATCTCTGCTTAGGTTCTTGATGCATGAGTTCTTGTAGCTAACGTTTCCTCTGTCCTTCCACATATGTTTCTTTACGGCAGGTTTTAGTTTCTCGTTTGAAGCTTATTGCTTTTCATCAGGTTAGATGTGTCTTAGTAGTTTGTATCTGAGGCAATGTAGTTTCTTTGTAGCACGGATCCAATTATTTCGTGGGTCGAATTGGAGTGTTATTCTGATTGTTGTATTTGTGAGTTATGGTTTTCGTTTTATTCCATCTTATGGTGTACTCTTTTTCCTCCAATAGGTTTAGAGAGGTTTTTTAATGAGGTCTATGGGGTAGTGTACCTTATATATCATAATTATAAATTATCTTTTTTAATTAATATCCACACAGGGACTTTGATTATGGAAGAATTAATGTCAACAGATACGCTCAAAGATCATAAAATCTGGAAGTTTTAATTGTAAGCTTCAGCCTTTGATCATATGCATGACATGGTACATAACAACGGCGAACGAAGTCGGTAGGGTAAACAGAAAAAGAAGCGCCATTCCCAAAGCCAAGCTCGGCCTGGTTTCCATTAACTTGGATTGCAAATACCCCGCTGCTTCACAAACATCGCGGTCGTAATTCTCTTTCTTGTATTCCTTCTCCCAATCCATCCAATGCCGCGGAGGCTCGTAATTCTTTTCCGACGTCGTCATCTCGTGAATTCGCCTCCTCAACACAATCATGCTCTCGTCCACTAGCTTGCCGTCGAAGTCATGACTGTGTGCGTATCGTTTCGACGCCAGAATTCCCAAAACCCTTTTACGAAAGATGGTGGATTTGCCGGAGAATGGAAGAGGAAGAGGAAGAGGGAGAGATGATGGGGCGGCTATGGAATTGTTGAAGACAGATGTGGTTTCCATGGTGTGTTTGGACGTTAAGAAAAAATGTTGTAGGGTTGAGGCGAAGATGTAGAGTATTTATAGAGGGTTGAATTTAGAGGTACATAGATTTGGGCTGGAAATTCAGGTAATTCGGACATTCATTATGGTGAAACGTGGAAGGGATGTTTATGGTAGGGAAGATCCTGTGCTAAAATCTGGACATTAGTAATGTTCAGCCGCATACTAATTATTAGATAGATGGGTAAAGGACACAAATTTTCCGTGACTATAAGTAATTATTTTATTAAATCTCTCCATTATTAAAAATTATAAAATAATCTATCGATTATATAACGTTACTTTGTAGAGTCATTTGACTATTAAAAGTTATAAAATGATCATTTGACTATTTATATGTTCCAAATTCGTTATTTTTCTTTTAAAAGTTGGCACTCATCTGAGTTGAATATTAACTTGTTAACTGTGATATGATAAAATCTAATCTCATAACCGTTTGATTTGTATATTGTGAATTGATCTCCGTTTACATTATGTGTTAAGACAATGTTTAAAACATTATGTCGTTGAATCAATACTTGAAAGCAACGGCGATGCAAGTATACATTATTAAAATATAATTTTATCATATCTTAATCAGTAGGTTACCGTCAAACTCAAATGATTGTCAATTTTTAAACGGAAAAAAACGAATTTGAGGCATATGAATTGTCATACGATAATTTTACAACTTTTAATAGTTAAGGGATGAAGTTATTCTATCAATTTATATTATGCGTAAATTATAGATTTTATAATTTAATGATTTAATCTTTTTATTTCGGAATACAAAAAAATAGAGATTAAATATAAAAAAGATAAAAGTATAAATAGTTAATCTGTAATTTATATATAAAATAAGGACTATTAACATAAAATGTTTTAGTTTTCTTTTCAATTAAGGTTCCAAAGGGAAAGCCAACGCGTCTGGGTGAGGCGTCCAATCGCGTTACAGTACAACTGTACAACCGCTGTTCCAGTTCTCTTTTGTAATACAAATTGATCTTTGCTACGTTTAATTTTAAAATCGATATTTAATGATTTAAATAACAAAATGAAAAATAAAACGAACAACTTATAAAACGTAAGTACTTGCTCTAAAAGGAACTTAAAATATTTATATTTTTTAATCAATTAATAGACTGTATTAGGTAGCCTTCCTTTATTAATGGTTTTCATTATTGATGTGATCGTTTTTAAAAAGTTTGATGAAGTTTTAATCTTCAAGAGAAATTTATTAAATAAAAGAAAATTTAAAACCGTTAAAGTAAGTAAAAATATTTTAAGAACTACATATTTTAAATTGAGTAAAGTATAGTAATGGTCACTGAACATTTTTGAAGCTTTCATTTAGGTCCTTCAACTTTTAAAACTTGCAATACAGTCCCCTAACATTTATTCCGTTTGCAAAATGGTCCCCCAACTTAAACCAATGTTAGAAAATTAGGGTAAATTATATAATCGGTCATTAAACTTTTCAGACACTTTAATTTAGGTCTCCCAACTTTTAAAACTTGTAAAACAATCCTTAATTTAATTATAAACCCCAATTTCCAAAGTAATTCAATTTCATTCTAAACCATTGATTTTACTAAATCATAAATGATCACTGTATGAGCAAATTCAGGTGAATCATAAATGATCGCACTGTAAAGCACTGAAGGGTTAAGTACTCAAATCTGATAAAAAAATAGCATGCAAGAACATAGTAGTACTTAAATCATAATGCTCCAAATGAGTGTTCCGAATTTCATATAGTCAAAAGTTGAAGAAATGAGCAGAGTTTATGGGAAGTTGAAATACCGAATAGAGTGCTTCCATTTTGCTATTCGGGATGTTTAATCAATGCATATTGTTATTCAAAATTGATATAAATAGTTAAACAAACCTCAAATTTATATTGAAATAAATATTGTCAAATAGTAAATTCATGTTCAAAATGTCAAAACATCTTAATTTCATTCTAAACCCTAAATTCCAAAATAATTCAATTACATTCTAAACCTTAAATTGAAATATTTTAGAATTTGGGATTTAAAATTTAATTGAATTATTTTGGAATTTAGGGTTTAGAATGAAATTGAATTACTTTGGAAATTGGGGTTTAGAATGAAATTGAGGACTATTTTACAAGTTTTAAAAGTTGGGAGACCTAAATTCAAGTGTCTAAAAAGTTCAATGACTGTTACCCTAATTTTCTAACAGTGGTTTAAGTTGAGGGACCATATTGCAAACGGAATAAATGTTGGGGGACTGTATTGCAAGTTTTAAAAGTTGGGGACCTAAATGCAAGCTTTAGAAATGTTCAGTGACCATTACTATACTTTACCCTTTTAAATATATGAAAAATGTTTTCCATCGCCGTATAAATTAATAATTATATATTTTATTAATTTTGATCATCGTTACAGATCAATATCACAACTTTCTTTGTCGTATTATGTTACTTTCTCGAACCAAATATTAAATAATTTATTTATTTAAAAAAAAGAATAAAATCATTGAATCAAACTGACCATAAATCTCTGATTTGAAAATCGAATCGGATTGGTCGGTTCAATCGGTTCAATCGGTTCAATCGGGAATCGTTATTTAGTTTGATTCAATATAAACCGGTTGAATCGTTATTAGTGAACCAGTCAGAATCACTGAACCGTTCGAACCGGCTGAAAACCGGAAAAAACCGAGATTTTTGTTTTTTTATTTTTAAAAAAAAATTAAACCAAACAACGTCGTTTGTTAAACAAATCAAGTCGAACTCGAGTATTGCTGAGCTCGACTCGAACTTGAAAACTTTAAAAGTAAGCTCAACTCAACTCAAACTCACAAGCTAAAAAATTATCAAGTTCAACTCAAACTCGAAATATAATATTGAAACTTGAACTCAAAAAGGCTTGAACTCAAAAAAAAAATTAGAAGCTCGATTGAAGCCTAAAATTCGAACTTGATTGAAGTGAAAGAATAGTTCACTCAATGCTCACCAAAAGGCTCAATGATTTTGAATGCCAAATTACCTCTATTATTTATAGAAGTTAGTTGTGACGCGCTTCTATGTTTCTTAGCAATGTGAGATTGTTTTGTTCTCATATTTTTACTCTTTAGACTTTTGGGATGCTCTTCTATGTTTCTTAGCCATGTGAAATTGTTTTTAAAAAAACTTAAACTAAACAATATCATTTTGTTATGCTTTTTTTAACCCCAAATTTATTTTTTAATTATAGTTATATAATTATATTTATTATTTAATATGTTTTACCTTAAATATTATGTTGTAGTTAATTTGAATTATTTTGTTTCACTTTATTTTATGGTTTTTAACTTATATATGTTATGACTTGCTTTGAATATGTTGTGATATAAAAATTTATTTTTTATGAAATATTTTTAGTATTTTTATTTAATTTTTTAAATAATCATGACGTCGTATGGTTCTTTCGACCGGTCAGACCGATTCGACCCGGTTGAACCAATGAACCGGTAACATGACCGATTCGTTAACCGATCCGGTTCTGAAAACCATGCCATAAATAGAATAGTAATGTATAAATGACCAAGAAGAAGTAGATGTTAGCCCAAATTTGTTGATCCAATTAAGCAAGGTCAGTTGTTCGAATTCTGACATTTAAGAATGGAACAAACTGGTTTGGAAATGTCGTCCTCGCCTCTGCAATACCCGATTTAGATTAATCGATCAATAAATCGGATACAAGTGATTAATTCAAAAGAAATGCAAATTGCTTCATAATCTCTTAGGTAGCATTTGGTTTGCAGGAATCCCTTAGAATTAAGAGGAATTGGAATCCAATTCCATCACTTTTCCATATTTGGTTCAAAATTTTCAAGGGAATTAAAATCCTAAATAACTCCAACTTTCCAAAAATTAAATTTCATCCATAACATGAGGAAATTAAAATCTTAAAACTTATAAGGAAAGAATACAAAATTTAACCATACTACCCTCATCAATATTTTCAGTCCCTTTTAAACCTAATCTATCCTTCCATCATCTGTCTTCTATCCCTGCTCTCTCTCTCAAGCCATTCTTTTATCGCCAATCTAGAGGTAATCTCTTTCTCCTTCCTCCACCTTTTTCATTACGCTGGGTTTTTCTTTGATCCTATCCTTCTTTACTACATGATTTATGTTGTTGAGATGTTATTTATATATTAAGTTTTCCCGGAACTTATGAAAATCTAGCTTAAAGCCATAGAAGGAGCTTAAGGCTAAGAACTATATCATTTACATAACTAGTAAAAAAGGGATACACACGAATGCAATTAGGAATTTTGGATATGCACAAAAGGCACTCAAATATCTAACAATTAGAAATGTTAAGTATGACAGCGCCTTAAGAGGCAATATGACTTTTTATTGTTTAACAAACTAAAAAGATTGAATTCTTCAGACAAAACATTTCTTTTTGTTGTAATCATTTCTGAACCTTCACCACAGAATTGAGAAAGTTTGCATCCTGAAAATTCGCCGGTTCAACCTGAAATGAAATGGAAACACGTGATGTGGCAAATGTAATCAATTTTCATGGGATCCAACATTCTCATGATTAGCACTTTGTTCATTTTCAGTGTTACGCCATGTATATGATGATTGAAGTTGGAGTCAAGTGACTTTGTATGCTAGCCTTGTGAACAATTAAACTGAGTCATAACGAGGTCCAGGTTCTCCAGGCCCCATGTGTCATAAATGATCATAAAATGAGATTTTTCTATATGCAAAAACTTAGCTTAACCACGTATTAGTAACTTTAGTAGATAGCCAGGCAATAGATGAAAACAAACATACCGAATTGTGTAAGTCTGCAGTCAAATTGCTTCACGTTCAACAATAGCTAGAAGTAGAAGTAAAACAAATTCCAGGAACATTCTCATGATTTTTTTTTTGCATTAATTTCGTGGTTAGGAGAGTTTGGTTAACAGAAATAATGTGATTATTTGTTGTCCTCTTAGGAGTCATAATAGAGGGAG